TATTTAAATATTGCAAAATTAATGTTTCGCTTAAGTTTTTATTTAACCCCATCCAGATCCAGTGAGGCCTTTAAAACAGCGCGTCAATTTTAAAAGTTTTTTCATAAGGCACTTTCTGTTTAGCGCTTAGTGTTAGTTCTGGCCTTGAAATGAAGATTCCATTAAAAAGCCTTGCGTTCAGACATAAAATTAGGGAGATCTTGTAAGCATGAATTGAAATATATGAAATGCGGATGAAGGTATGAAAGTGAAAATGATCATCGCATTAAATTTGCAGCCTATTCGGTTGAAAAATAACCTGAAACATTTTGCAGTGTAATCGCAGAAAGTTACAGGTAATATTATTAAATGGTGGGGAAAATACTCCGCGGCTTTAAATTAATAATTTCCAAGATGTTTTAATTCCGGTAGTGTAGTAACCTTTTTGTTAAGGCAGCTTCTAAAATGCACTCGAGAAAACCGCACAGTCTCTGTGAACTCTCACTTTAACTTGCGAGAGATGCAAAAAAGACAATAGAGTGACATTACTTTCAAACCAAATTTACGGGTTAATGTTCAAATAAAGTTGTTAGCAGTTTCACCATATTTTGTTGTAGTATTGGCTGTTGAGCTTTCAAAATGTCATTTTTAGGAAGCCCACCATCGAGATGCGGTCATCTCTAGGTGGGCAGTCAAAACTACAACAAATACCGGTTAAACGAAAATTGTTGGTATTCATTTGAATTAAGTTTGTTGGTTAAATGACCAGAAGGAAATTGTATACAAGTGAATAATCACAACCCTGAGTTTGAAATCCACAAAACTTTTTATTTTGGACCAAGTTTGATTCGTTCTGTAGAAAGACTAACAGAAGAAATTTGTGACTGTAAAATAGTCCAAAAAAGTAACTGGTTTCTGATTCCTTTATATTAAAATGACAGTGCATATAAAACAGTTAACAGGAAAGATGCATGTAAGGGGTTGGACCTCTTGGCAGAGTCTCACAGCATGTACAAAATTTTATTGTAACAATGTAATGTTACAGTTGAGATTGGAAATTTACTTTAGTCACAAAACGAATCAAACATATAGGAAATGTCACATGCACATCACCTTTGACTGTCAGCAAATGTTATGCAGTTCACTATATTTGCTCCCCTTGCAAATATGGATAATTATGATACAAATGTTCAAATTTATGATACAGCCAAATGTGTAGAAATTTCTTGTTTTTGCTCTTAAGGCAAATACGAGTAAACCACATGCAAAAGTGTTCTTTTGGTATCCTGGAAAAACAAGAGCAAACACCACTGCATTAATTAGTGGTTTTGCAATATTTTTGCCTGCATTTGAAGTACAGTGAAAACTGTCATTTTTGCCAAGGATGTAAATTTGAGTAGATTGGTAGAAATGTTGAAGATTTGCCCATGCTGCAAATATGTATCAAATTTGTATCAAACCAATTACATTTACTTGACTTTTGCGTACCAATACCTATCTAGCAAATATACGTATTTGCCCACACTTTAGCCGACAGCGCTGGCATGGGCATCACCAAGAGCTTTTGGAAATGGGCACAGAGCTACCTGTTACGCAGAACACAGCAGGTTAAGCTCCCTGGAGTCCTCTCCAGACATGGTGAGGTGATTGCTGGTGTACCCCAGGGCGGTGTTATTTCTCCTACACTTTTTAATGTGCATGTAAACGATATTGAGGACTGCATCCCCAGGGGAATACCTGTATCCACTTGCAAGTACGCTGATGACTGCACCCTATACGAACTTGTCTTTAAGGACTCTGTCAGTCAAATGCAGGATGCTGTGACTCACTTGGAAAGATGGGCTGTGCAGAATAAACTGGAGCTGAATGCTAAAAAGACCAAGGATATGTGGATCACCTTCAAGAAGTCTTGTCCAATTCCTACTCCTATTAATATCGGGCCTACTGAACTGGAGAGGGTTTCGGAGTTTAAACTACTGGGTGTATATGTACAGAACGACTGATCTCAAGTGGAATACACATGTCTCAAGTATTGTCAGCAAAGTGTGTAAACGGATCCACTATCTTAGGGTCTGTAGAACAGCCCATCTAACCAGGGACATTGGTCTTACAACTTACATCCCTAAGATTAGACCTGTTTTAGAATATGCCTCGCCTGTCTGGGGAGGGCTGCCCATTTACCTCGAAGAAGATCTACAGAGAGTGCAGAATAGATGACTAAATGTCATTGGTCTCCCTAGGGATACTGTCGAGTCACTTGTAACTAGGCGTCAGAATTTGACGAGGAAAGAATTTAAACGTATCCTAGAATCAGAAGCACATCCTTGCAAACGTTTCTTAGACAAGCCAGTGGATCATGCCCATAATCTAAGATCTTGTAAGACTAACCCAGCGCACCTCACAATACATGTATCACGCACTGTTATGTTAGGCACAAACAATCGTTTATTGCTGGGGTGCTAAACTTAACTTAATTTGATAAGTACATATAATATGTAGTGTTTTGAATTCTTATTGTAATATTACCGTAATTCTTATCGCCAAAGGTAATATATAAAGGTTTTTATTATATTATTATTATATTTATCACTACTCAGGATTTCGATGTAGGGTACCCTGCGAGCAGAGGCCCTTCGATCTTCCTAGAGAAATGTAAGGTAGTTAATGTGAACGATTAAAGACCTTAGACTCAACGAAGCTTGTAATCACATTCTTTTTCAATTGCTCGCTGTATTTCTGCATGGTTGTATCTACTTTCATATCAGCGGCCGAGTTACATGGTGGTTGACATTTTCTGTAATGGAAAACTCTAGCTTTTTTCCAGTTCACATGGTTGGTTTTGTAGCCTTCGAATGGTTGCATGATAAGATGGACTCCATGCTCAAACACTCTTTGTGGATCATCAACGCATTTGGTGTGTGACGAATCAGCTTGCGGCGAACGATGTAGAACGTTTTGAGTGAAAAGAGAATAGTTTTGAGTCAAGCTATCTACAGTGGGAAACATTGCGCTTGTAAAACAGTGGCCGCAATGGTTAGAGTCGTGGATACTGTAAAGTAGAGAAGGCATGCTTTCATTCTGAAGCGGGGTTATAAACTCGTCTAAATCGTTGAACGCAACGAAGTTGAGACGATTTATTGACCGGAACAAGCAGTCTTGCATGGAAAAAATTTGCCCATGGTAATGGACATCTTGATCTGTGATATAAGCGGGTAAACTCCAAGGAAGAACTTGTGCTAACCCTTTTCTTTCGTAGTAACTCAGCACTTTCCTCACGCTGTGTGATATATCGTTGTCATAAAATGTAAAATATGACGCTCCTAAAAGTTGCGACATTTCTAGAAACTCAACTACATCGGCGACTCGAATATTTCCAAATATCGGAGGAATGCAAATTCCGTAATCTCTCTTGCAAGATGCCTCTTTTCTTGTGTTTCCCACAGGTAAAACAACCATACATTCGTTAGCTATCGAGATGTTAACAAAATTCGGTAAGCTGACCAAATCTTTCGGAAGAGTGCAGGACGCCACAAAGAGACCATAACGTTTGTTGCTGTATCGTTTGTTCATTTCATAATACGGAGTAACAGCTCCTACAGAGATAGAAGAAGTTGACCCATTTTGGAAACGACATGAGAGAGGCGGTGGTTGTTTTCTGCGTGAAGTCATTAACAAAACCTGGATATAATTTTCAGCATATCGATCATCAAACCACGCAGAGTAGAGTAATGTTCCCCTTTTACACTCGATGAAATCTGGCAATATATCCAGAGCTTGAGGGCAGTTGTTAGCTTTGTTGGTAGCATTTGCACCTTCCTTCAAAGTCCTGGGCCTTCCGTCAGGTTTAGGAATTCTATCGCTGAAAAACCCGTAAGAGGGAAATAAATTGACCAGAAAGCTGCAACTCAATACGAGTAGAAAATATATAAATACGAAGGTAAACGCTTTCAAATGTTTCGAAAACGGCCACATAAGCCAACGAGACATGATGCACGGCCACAACGTTATGAGCTTTTCTTTGCAAACACGTATAGTCACTCACTATTGGGGACTGGAAACCTATCATGTGTCTATTTGCAGTGACCAATAGTCGGGAGAATTGGGCGGTCATCCCAGCAAGAAGCTTCATATATATTTTTTCCCTCGACCGTTCTTAAGCCATATGTAAAAGTCACAGCCGAATTAACTGTGTTACTCCGGCAACCCTAATTCTACCCTGCTAGCAGAGTCGCTTCGATCTTACCTGGATAAGTCGGGAAAGACGAAGGCGACTCTGCCGACATCTTCAAACTTTCTTGTTGAGCATGCGCCAACTAAAAGGTAACCAAGCCTTATCCATTGTCATCCCCAGAGCCTCGCTTCCGACTTATGCCATTTCTTCGTTGCTCGTAAGTTCCCGCGCTTAATATTCATGTTTTCATATTTTATCCAGTTCTATCAAAAAATTGAATACTATGATTTTATCTTTTGTTGCCATTAATTATGCCTTCTTTTTTGAAGCAAATTAACCTAAATACAAAGCAACTATGTGGTTTCACTTTTTCAGAAGTCTTACTGTGAAACTCACAAAACAGTGAACACCAGAAATATTATTTTATGGGATGTTATTGTGTACAAGTTTGAAATAAGCCAATGAGGCGCAAGATAACAAAACTGCAAACAGCAATGTTAATTAGTTTGTGGTTTGAGGTTTGCTTGCGTATCCTGAATTTTATTGTGATATTGGCCAGTACACAATCAACATTCCTGAAATTTTTCAGGTGTTCATGGTTTTCTGAGTTTGACAGTAATAACACTAGATTCTTAAATGTGCATCAATGTTCTCCATGCAGCTTACATAGAGTCACTATCAGTTTCACTATGAACAGCCTGTTCTTCAACATCGAGAAATTAAAAGTCATTTACGATGTTCTCGTCCATGCTATTTATAAACTCCACTTCGGCAATGTCATTGAAAATTTCATTTACAACCTTCAGAATTTCAACTGCCAGTTCTTTACTGAATACTGGGAAATTGGCCATCATATAGTCAATAGAAAATATGTACTGACACTCGTTTGCAATGGCTTCAATGACCTCATCATCAAGCCCACAGGACAGTCCCACAGTTCCAAATATGGAACTGCCTGCTTCGATCTTAATTTCTGACAGCATTTGTCGTCCACCTGTCTCGACAATGCAGGCACATCTCCTACTGCCAGGTCAATCGATTCGGCCACATGTACAAGAGAAGCAGAGTTGAGGGAACCCTTGATACAACTAGTGCATTGACATGATTTCTGGCACACATCACAACATTCACGCTTTAAATCGGGTGAATTGATCTTTTCCTTGAAATAGGTCATCAGCATGACTCTTCTACATACCTGCTCAGGGTTTTTAACGTACTTTCGCATATGATCATCACAGTGTGAAAGATGGATTGGCTTAAAGTAAAGTGTTGCATCACACCTCTTGCCATCTCTTCCACCACGACCTACCTCTTGGATATACTCTTCCACATTTGATGGGGGGGCATAATGTATGATGGAACGAACATCTGGGATGTTCACCCCCATACCCAGGGCACTTGTTGCTATTACCACACGACACTTTCCATCAACCTCTAACAGGGAGGAAAGGACCAATTCCTTGATATTGTCAGGGGTTTTACTGTGATACATTGCTACCACTGGTATTGACGTATCACAGTTACTAGAACCTCCCTTTACCTCATCAAATAGTGTGTAAATTTCCCCACAATCTTTGAGGGAACGACAGTATATAATAGTCTTTGGAATTTGCCATGTACGTGTAAGCTGATCTATGAGCCACTGAAAAGTCTCCTCCAGTTCATCAACTTTCTTGACCAAATATGTGATGTTCTTTTTGTCAGGTGACTGCTTGACATGTTTTGTGTTGGTCATGTGAAGAAGCTTAATAATTTTACTCCGTACTTTTCTGCTAGCTGTAGCTGTTAGACACATGAACGGGGCTCTAACAAAACTTCGCAGGTTGCCAAGTCTGCTATAAGCTTCTCTGAAGGGCACCTTCTCTGGCTGGCAACTGTCTGAAGTCTCCCTTAAAAAAGAATTCCCTCCTTTATAATGAGGCTATTAAGAGGGAAATAAGCCCATATCCCTTGAAAAGTTCCACTAACAGGCAGAAACAAACACCAGAAGCAAAGCAAAATGTTCTAAAGCAAGCAAGATGCTAAAATTTTGTGGAAAAAAAACCCTAGGGTATTTTAACTCATGTGGCTAGCAGATATGCCATTCAATTCACAGGAACTAACAAAAGTGCTTACATGACAAAATAGTTCACACCTCCCACAGGATTAGCATGGTAAACCAAGATAGGTGAAGTTTTATAGCTCAGAAACACGATTATGGCCCCTGTGAAGTCGCATTAAAATTCCCTGCTCAAGGAATACAATGTAGAACCCACAAAAATGGTTGGTATTAAAAATACAGAAGGGCATTATTATGTTAGAAAACTGATAAGTTAACTTTGATTTTCTACAAATTTAAAAATGGCTCAAGATTCTTTTTGCAACAAAAGAGAAACAAGCAAACATTGTAAAATAATAAATTATTTATTTTAAAGAGAAAGATGTTTTTTTTTTCAGTCAGTGAAATGCAGTGCGTACACTCCCAACACGAATCACACCTACAGTGTATGAACTAGTCCAGATGCTCAAGCAGTGAGTTACAGGAGACTCGTGGACCACTTAACTATGTTCATGTACTAAACATTCTGCATACTGCTAGGAATGGATCATGTACTATTTCATACAATGTATAACAGTTTTCGTAATATCATACTTAACATATTTAATTACCGGTATACAAATAAAATCTTTCTCACTGACTAATAACAAACAGTTACTTTAGCTCCTATATTACTAAATGGAATATGAAAGTAAATCGGTTTGAAAGGTACTCAAATATCAAATATTTGACTTGTACTACATGTACAAGAGCGTGTAGAGTAGCTTAGATCTTTCGATGAATCACTAAAAACAAACGTTGGCTTACAACTATTAACAAAAAAAAAACTCACCACTGTACAACACAATGTGACTCGTCAATAACAATTCCGATGATACGGTCACAGTACCGCGTGAGAAGTTTTGCCACCAAAGGATTTTCAAGTACCTCTGGGCTTGCAAACAAGATATCGTAATCACATACTTCAAGCAAAGAAGTCGAATTTTCCACTTCAACTTTACAAGCTTTGATACCAATTCTTTCGCATGAAATTATTTGATCCTTGATAAGCGAATTAAGAGGAGAGATCACAACCATGAGCGGTGCCTTAGGAAACTTATGCCCCAGTGCTGAGAGCTCGGTGGCTACAGCGGGACAAATCTGGTATAAAGAGATTTTCCACGACCAGTTGGCAGCGTCACAAACGTATCATTACCGCCCAGGAAAAAGTCCACAGACCTAGTCTGATGCACGGTGAGGCAACGTATTCCTCCGACATTAAGTTTACTCAACGCTAAACCGACAGCTTTCTCAAACTCACTAGCATTCCACGAAGGATTACCACAAGCGGCAGCCATTTTTGTTTTGGAGCGTGGGCGCAGGAAAGATCAGTAAAACTCCAAAATACGGGTGCGTGCGCAGGAAAAACTGGTTTATCCAGTATGAAACTTGCCAAAAAGCTGGATGATCGGCAGATCAAAGGAACTTGAAGATGTCGGCAGAGTCGCCTTCCTCTTTCCCGACTCATCTAGGAAAGATCGAAGCGACTCTGCTAGCAGGGTACCCTAATTCGTGAGCTGACATGTATTCTTCTCCATGTTTAGTTTTAAGTTTTGATCTCAGAAGAACGCGGTGGCGAATGCCGAAATACGCACAGAGAAGACAGCATGTTAATCGAGGGGGGGTCAGAGGATGTTTTTAAATATCCCCCTCCCACCCCACATCATACAACCCCACTTCTTGACCAAGAGAAAATATGACAACAACACCCATCACGAGCTACCCTGCGGACGAGGATGGAGCGTGGAGAAACGGATGTTTTCGCAGGCTAATGGCGGCACCCCCCCCCCTCCCCCTCCCCCTCCACCCAGTCTTGCAAAGAATAGTATATAAAGGTACAAGCACTCTAAGTTTTAAGGCCCAAATTCCGTCTCACAGTACTTCGGCAACTGAAGGAACTGTGACTATCTTCAATCGGGGATACTCTTCAACATGTACATTCTGCTAGTTGTAATTTCGACAAGCAAAGTGTTGTTGATTTTGATGATGATGCTGATGGGAACGCCGAGGTTGTTATTGCTGCCGATGATGACGATGATGATGGTGGAAATGAAGAGGGTTAACTTAGAGGGAAGTTTATCTGATCCATTGGTTTGGCTAAATTGTACAACTGTTCTGAAGAAAAAACTAGGAGATGACAGACTTGCTCAAATAAACGTGTGCAAATTACAGAATCTGTTTTTATTTTGATCAAACTGGTTACCTGCCAGGAGCCGATAACCCGGAGCGTTCAACTGCCATAATTTCGTGCAACGGCGTTTTTACAAGTGAGTTTATTTTTAGATAAGCTTTTCCCGCGAAAAATAATTGTTCCACGAGGTCAATTCCTGCATTTGATCGTCGTTTAGACTGTTAGTAGCTCGCTTGGACCTTTTCACAGTCGGCTATTTCGAAGATGATTTCGATTTAATTCCCTTTGCATGAATTATGCGTTGTCGCCGATGAAGTAGACGTCCTGGCTAGGTTTTGCAAATCTTCTTCTGAACTGCTAGTTTCCGTGTAAATACTGAAATTGTCGTTTGAAGTACTGTCAGAAGACTCCTCTGAAGATTCCTCACGTGTGTCCGCTATGTTTTTTTCAATGTGAAGGAGTTGTCCTAGTTAGGGACTGGTCAAAAAGTATAGGGGGGTGGGCCGGAGCAGAGAGGGGTGGGTCATGAGGTTTTGAGCCTTGTGCAAGGGGTGGGTCGTGCAATTTGCGGCTACCCTTAGGGGGTGGGTCACCCTATTTTATTACATAGATAAGCACTAACTACTAACGAGACAGTTGACCACACTTGTTATATAAAACACAGCCAGCTGGAATTATTGCTAAAATACTCACAAACCTGTGGTGCGAGAAAATGCAACGGGTGACAGGCCGCTCATCCCGTGAACCCTTTGTTAACCTTTTTTTTTTTTTTTGGCTCTAACGAGCATGTCCTTTAATGATTTTCCTTTTTTGTAAGGACATGATTGGTGGTTCTTTAAATATTTATTAAAGTTATGGTTGGTTTTGTATAAGATTCCATTTTTATTATTCAAGCTTCCTTTATAGTAGACACTGAGGGTTGGTATTGTGTCACAAATGGCCATAAATCTTTTTCCTCCTTGTAGGTTTTGTTTTAGGAGTTTAGACTCGTTTTTGTGAATTTTTTTCTGATAGTAGGTCTTCTATCAAAGTTTGTGGGTAGCCTCCGTCCTTCAAGCGTTTTTTGAATTATTTTCCTTTTATTTTCCTTAACGCTTGGCGGGTGACACGAGGTGAAATGTGTGTGCAAGAAGGTTTCCGTTTGTTTAAAATGTGTCTTTGCATCAAGGATAGATTTTTTCTTGAATCTTGTGCCTTTGTATACAACCGTGTCTAAAAACGCTGCATCTCAGTGTCATATGTTTCGGCCATGAATTCAATAGTTGGGTGATGTAAGTTTGCTTGTTCAATGAAGGCTTTGATGTCTGGTTTACTCATGTCCCATAGGGAAAAGATATCGTGTATGTAGCATTTCCAAACTGTTGTTCTAAAGACAGTTTTGCTTAGAGTTGTTGTTTCAATATATGTCTTGAAAATATTGGCAAAGGAATCAAAACTGCTGTCTTTGTGCCCATTACAGTTCCATGGTTTTGTAGGTGGTGCTTTCCATTGAAGTGGAAGAAATTTTCTTTGAGGATTAATCTAAGAATTTTCGGCAAGTAATGTGTGGGAATGGGTTATCTTTGTAGAAATTTTCATATGCGTTGTGACAGACAATTTCAATAAACCCTCGTTTTGCTGTATATTTGTGTCAAGACTCATAACGTCCATCGAAACAAGAAATGTTCGGTTTTTCACATTTGCCTTTTCAGTGAAAGGTATGATTTCTGTGATTTTGATATTGGTTGTAGCACAGGCGGCCCAGACGTAGTAAGTGTCACTGAATGAATATATTAATATTTTAGTTCATTGGAGTTTCGACGACTCTTCACATTAATTTGTCCATGTGAATATTAATATATCCATTCAGTGACACTTACTACGTCTGGGCCGCCTGTGGTTGTAGCAGTGTATCAACAAATTTTGTCAAGCACAGAACAAGGTTAGGCCATCCTCTTTTTTTTCTCCGTTTACCGTCGTCCGACCGACCCAAATTTTTGGCATTTTTTTAAAAAAAGTAACGACATAGTTACACCATTTTTCACTTGAAATAATTCTTTTAATCTGAAAAATGAGCATAGTAACAGCACAGAGAAAAACAAGAACACAAACATGAACATTTTTCACAGTATATTTTACATTTTGTTAATCCAAATATGTGAATGTTAACTTTTAACGTTGTCCTGGGGTACCAGGGCCTACTATTCTGAGAGACTTTTTGTGATTTTTTTTAAAGTTTCTTTTTTTTTTCAATCCGACCGACCGACCCAATATCAGGGAACGCATTCGACGGTAAACAAAAGAAAAAAAGGGGATGGCCTTAGAGGAAACCAAACATCCATGTGTTAACTAGGGGGTGGGTCATGCAATTTCCAACCTTGCTTTAGGGGTGGGTCAGTCATTTTGTGCCGAGGGAGGGGTGGGTCGTGTGTTTTTATCAACCACATTTCCAAATGCTCCGGCCCACCCCCCTATACTTTTTGACCAGTCCCTTACGTATTAAAAGTTTATCATTGATGACGCACTTGTGAAGTTAGACGCTCCGGGTTATGGGCTCCTGTTACCTGCCCAATATTTGTTATATAATAATTAATATACACGAAAGAATTATTCAACTCTGATTGGCTGAGAAAGAAGTGCAGTTCTTCTGTAACACGAGTGCAAATTTGTAACACGAGTGCAAAATTTGTAACACGGGTGCAAAGTACAAATGGTTTCTGATTGGCTTAAAACACAAAAGAAACCTCCAAGAACCAATCATATTAGAGTTGTTTTAACAACAAAATTCAAGAAAATGGCCCTGGTTTTCAGCAGACGACGACGGGATTTAATTTTGTACCCAAAACAACAACAGAAAAGTTAAAAATATCCCAAAACCCTAACATTGTAAAAAGTACGTCTTTCTGGCTAAATGTATTGAGAATTCGGTGCTAAGAGAAAAATACTGTCAACAAAATCGAGGAAAGTGAGCCAGAGAAACTGAAACAACCTATCTCTACTTATAACAGACTACGCTGAAGTGAAAAAATAAAGAACAAAAACGGTTGCAACAACACGCAAACCATGACAGCTACACTTTTCAGGCTTAAATGAACAAGGATACATTTATTTTTGACCCGAAAGGACGTAATGAAGCACAGGGATTTCAAGTCAGGTACGTTATTTGTTGGAGGAGAAAAGTTTCCGATTCCTCTCTTTGAGTCTTTTGTGGAGCTAAGACCTCTATTAAAACATCCATGCGATGGTCTGTTTTTTTTTCTACCTCAGTAGCAAAAGAAATCGAATTTACACATCTGGTCCAAACAAACTAAACCAGTGGGAGAAAATATCATAACTAACATGGTGAAAGTATCCGTAGCCGTTACTAGCCTTAAAGAAAGTGAGAAAAAAGTTTACTAATCATTGTGCAAGAAAAACAACAGTCAGGAAGCTGAAGAAAGCAAAGATTGTAAGTTCAGAACATATCACCAATGTCACAGGCCACAGAGGTATAAACTTCCTTAACCTGACTACGATGAAGTCGACGAAGAAGAGCTACGATGACTCTTGCAGTAGGCCAAATGAAATAATGAAAAGCCCAGCTTGTTGAAAAGCAAATGTTATATTAATACTTGCAGCTTCCGACATCACAACAACTGTGGCTCCATTCACCCATCGATGGCAGCGTCGGAATGTTTCAAAGACCACAAAGTGGTTTGTTGGTCTTTGAAAAATTTACTCGTATGTGATTACCTATACTTAATATCTCTAAAACAATTCATAAAACATATTTTCTAAAACTTTTTCATTTTGGTAAAATAACCAAGGCAATACTTATTACGATGTACTTTTGAATCAGCCTCGTTTTCATGTCAGCGTGGTCACATGATAACCGTAATTACCAAATAATCACATTTGATTACACAGATGATATCCACCTGCATTACTT